TAAGTGCGCCTTATGGTCGTGAAAATACGGTATTATAATGAATAACCTAGTTACTTATACTTGTGTTTCTGGAAGGCTTTCGATGACGTGGTTCGCAAAGAGAAGCCTAAGGAGGAGGTGTTTGAGTACAAGAAGAGGCTCACGTTGGACCATGAGAAGAGCAAGCAGAGTTTAGCAGAAATATATGAGCAAGAATATCTCAAGCAGAATCAGGTTTGACTTTTTTTCTTGTTTTCATTAGAACTTTGACACATATGAAGCATTTCCTCAAATATTCATTGTATTATTATTATCATCTTTTGTCATTTCAGCAAAAAACGGAGGAGGAGGAGAACCCAGCCCATGTAGAAATTCAGAAGCTTATGGACACACTCTTCCTAAAGTTAGATGCTCTTTCCAACTTCCACTTCACACCTAAGCCGGTGAGTTTTTCCTGCTAGCAGTGACTAAAACTAGATACTCTGCAGTTTCTCAGGTGCATGGTTCTTTAAAAACCTGTCCCAACGTGATTGTAGTCTTTAATTTAAGCTGTAATTATCGTTGGATAAACTGAATGTATATTTACACAGTGCTGTACTGTGAAAGGTAAAAGGTTTCTGATTCATTTTGTATTCATGTTTGCTTTTGTCCATAGCCCGTTCCTGAGGTCAAAGTGGTGTCTAATTTGCCATCCATTACAATGGAGGAGGTGGCTCCTGTCAGCACTAGTGATGCTACGCTACTCGCACCAGAAGAAATCAAGGTTAGTCTTCAATCCATGTACAGAAGTCCATTATTTTCATATGAGGATTTTGTCTAACAATCCTCTCCTCCAACCAAAGGAGAAGAACAAAGCGGGAGATTTGCTGGGAGCGACAGAGAAGACATCAACAGACAAGAAACGTGAGAGGCGCAACAAAAAGAAGGTTAAGCGACTGAAGATCAAAGAGAAGGAAAAGAAACAGAAACTTAAAGAGGCCAATAAAACCGAGGAGAACAAAAAGCCATCGAAGGCTCAAGTGACAGAAACCCTCAAGAAAGTCACAAAAGGAGGCAAAGCGACGATACTCAAGGTGAGTGCCTGATCTCGCTTCACTCTGCTGCTCTCGATAGGAAGTCGTCATCAACCTGCTCAGGGTTCTGTCAGATCAACGTTAGAAATGTTTGGAAGTGCTTTAAAGATGCACACAGGAGAAAGTAATCATTATTCATATGATACAACTAAGTCTAAATATCACTAAACACCAATGTGATGCTTTTTTTTTTTTTTTTTTATAAACAAAGGAAATTAAAGGATTTTAAGTGTGCCTTCTAGTCAGAAAAATACGGTACTGAAAAAGTTATTGTGCTTAAGGTGCTTCACTGACATCATCTGAGAGGTTCTGCCCTTGACTACCTCAGATTGGTTTAGACCATGATTTTGGCATCATTGTTGTCTGCTGTTGGCCACACAGAGACTTTCAGAGTTGTGGAGACTTTTTTTTTTTTTTTTTTTTTTAGTAACTCGAACGCCTGGTCGCACCGGTGCGACCTAGGATGTTTTTTTAGTCACACCATTGAGAAATTAGGTCACATTTGCGACCAAATTGGTCACACTCTACAGCCCTGTTTCATGTTGTTTATAACCAGCCACGCAACCATCTGTGTGATGCAGCAGAAATCAAGACTCATCAGACGAGACAACATTTTTACAATGTTCTGTGGTTCAATTTTCTTGAGCCTCTGAAAACTGCAGCCTCAGTTTCATGTCCGTACCGGAGCAGCACCCAGTGTGATCTTCTGCTGCTTCAAAGTTCAACGAGTTGTGCGTTCAGAGATGCTCTTCTGCATACCTTAAGCCCCTTTTTCCATTAGTATCTACATGGATCGACTTGCCACTGTTCGCCACGACTTGATTGGGATCGACTGGTTTTCCAATACAATCGAGTACCACCTAATGTGTGTGGCCAATCGGTGGCAAGTAGTCTGACGACGTCACACTTTTGTACCTGCTTGTATCACTGGTAAACTGTGGCGAACTGTTGCGAGTCGATCTGAGTAGGTACCAGTGGAAACGGGGCTTTAGTGGTAGCAAGCAGTTCTGTGAGTTACTGTTGCCTTCCTACCAGTTCGTTATGCTCTTACATCAACATGCCATTTTCACACATGGAACTACTGCTGACTGGATATTTTGATCTTATTCGGACCATTCTCTGTAATACTAGACATTGTTTGGGGAAAATCCCAGTAGATCAGCAGCTTCAGAATATTCTCAGAGTCAACGACTGTGTCACGTTCAAAGTCACCGGTGTTCCTCATTCTGATGCACAGTTTGAACTTCAGCAGGTTGTGCTTTATGGATTAACTCATGTTTTAACTATGTAGTGCCATCACAGACTGGGTAATCTATTTTTAGCAAACAATTAGTCAGCCTTTTCCACTTCTCAGACACACCACACCTTTAAGGAAGGCTTTTGTTGTAAACATTACACAAATTCCTACTTTATGCTGCAGATGTTCCTGAGGTGACTTTACTAACCAAGTGTTCCTGTTTCAGGACGAGGGGAAGGACAAGGCTCTGCGGTCCTCTCAAGCGTTCTTCTCTCAGCTGCAGGACCAGGTCAAAAGTCAGATCAAAAGCGCAAAGGACCAGCCTTCAAAGAAGAAGAAAAACAAAGAGGTTTCTGTTAGCAAACTCAAGTTATAATAGCTGTGATGGTTTGTTAGGGATTAGCAATGATTTATTGTATATATTTTTATGAAAATGCAAAATAAATGTTATGTCTGAAATTCTTGTAACATTTTGATTAAAAATAATCAGGATTCCAGATGTGCTGGTACTCTGTTTGGTTTTTGCTCATTTCCCATATCCCTCTGTATGAATAGAGACACATGGCTTTAGACGGTCCTCTGAATATTAAGCCATTTTCTAAGGGAGTCTTATCTCTTGACACTCTTATAAAATGTAAGCTAGTGATCCTCTGAATCATTCTGGGCAGACAACTGGGTATTGTGCTCACTCTGTAGTGTGGGAACTATGCAAATAATATAAAATAGCCTCTAAACCTTGAATAAAGTAGGTACTTCTCTCACTAATGGATATTAATTGATATCTTTTTGTAAAGACTGTATTTATAGATCAAAGACATGTAATTTCCCAGACTGGAAACGATTAATTTCACAGTGAAAAGCAGCTCTTCATTTTATTTTATTTTTTTTCAAAAGTGGAATTCAAGTACAGGGAGTGCAGAATTATTAGGCAAGTTGTATTTTTGAGGAATAATTTTATTATTGAACAACAACCATGTTCTCAATGAACCCAAAAAACTCATTAATATCAAAGCTGAATGTTTTTGGAAGTAGTTTTTAGTTTGTTTTTAGTTTTAGCTATTTTAGGGGGATATCTGTGTGTGCAGGTGACTATTACTGTGCATAATTATTAGGCAACTTAACAAAAAACAAATATATACCCATTTCAATTATTTATTTTTACCAGTGAAACCAATATAACATCTCCACATTCACAAATATACATTTCTGACATTCAAAAACAAAACAAAAACAAATCAGCGACCAATATAGCCACCTTTCTTTGCAAGGACACTCAAAAGCCTGCCATCCATGGATTCTGTCAGTGTTTTGATCTGTTCACCATCAACATTGCGTGCAGCAGCAACCACAGCCTCCCAGACACTGTTCAGAGAGGTGTACTGTTTTCCCTCCTTGTAAATCTCACATTTGATGATGGACCACAGGTTCTCAATGGGGTTCAGATCAGGTGAACAAGGAGGCCATGTCATTAGTTTTTCTTCTTTTATACCCTTTCTTGCCAGCCACGCTGTGGAGTACTTGGACGCGTGTGATGGAGCATTGTCCTGCATGAAAATCATGTTTTTCTTGAAGGATGCAGACTTCTTCCTGTACCACTGCTTGAAGAAGGTGTCTTCCAGAAACTGGCAGTAGGACTGGGAGTTGAGCTTGACTCCATCCTCAACCCGAAAAGGCCCCACAAGCTCATCTTTGATGATACCAGCCCAAACCAGTACTCCACCTCCACCTTGCTGGCGTCTGAGTCGGACTGGAGCTCTCTGCCCTTTACCAATCCAGCCACGGGCCCATCCATCTGGCCCATCAAGACTCACTCTCATTTCATCAGTCCATAAAACCTTAGAAAAACCAGTCTTGAGATATTTCTTGGCCCAGTCTTGACGTTTCAGCTTGTGTGTCTTGTTCAGTGGTGGTCGTCTTTCAGCCTTTCTTACCTTGGCCATGTCTCTGAGTATTGCACACCTTGTGCTTTTGGGCACTCCAGTGATGTTGCAGCTCTGAAATATGGCCAAACTGGTGGCAAGTGGCATCTTGGCAGCTGCACGCTTGACTTTTCTCAGTTCATGGGCAGTTATTTTGCGCCTTGGTTTTTCCACACGCTTCTTGCGACCCTGTTGACTATTTTGAATGAAACGCTTGATTGTTCGATGATCACGCTTCAGAAGCTTTGCAATTTTGAGACTGCTGCATCCCTCTGCAAGATATCTCACTATTTTTGACTTTTCTGAGCCTGTCAAGTCCTTCTTTTGACCCATTTTGCCAAAGGAAAGGACGTTGCCTAATAATTATGCACACCTGATATAGGGTGTTGATGTCATTACCTAACTTAACCTCTGTTAACTATTAACTTTTGGAGTTTTCTGTGTTAGGTAGAATTTAAACTAATTGGTTCACCCTGTACTGTGGACAGCTGCGGTATTTCTAAAATAGCATACAAACTGTTTTATTTATCTATAAGAAGAAGTATTAGGGCCATATTTAAAAAAAAAAAAAAAAAAAGAAAAGAAAAGGAAAAAGTAACGTCATCGGCTGACAACTGGGTCACACCTGCACCTGTGATTGACGCTCCTTTGATTCGGACAGCAACCCCGCCCCTGGGTTATTCCCCATGACGTCACTGGAGATAATCACGGAAGTGAAGTGAGCGACGAAACAAGACTCAAATAAGTTGGTGTGTGCGCTCGACTCGTATTTACAGGTAAGCTTCTGGCATTTTTTTTAACCTGTTAAACTATTTCGAAACTATCTGAATTCTTAAAGTCTTTCAGTGTATTTTACTTGGTTTTGTTGACGTTAAACGACGGAGCTAGGTCGGTAGCTAGCACAAACGATAACAGAAGACTGCTAACAAAGCAAAGGCTGTAGCTAGCAGATTTGTTCACACAAGCACCGGCTCGGGTTTTTAAAAATGAATGATTGTAATGTTAATGGATAAAACGGTACTGGACACGATAAGACGGTATCGTTTAAAGTAGCATGGTTGGCCTTCTTGTTACCTGTTCTCGGCGTCAAGCTAAAGCTAATGTTTTGAGTCGTTGGTAGTTTAATACTTTGTGTTGGTAACTAACTTATGTTTATTCCTGACCTTGTTTACGTGTGTGTGTTTGTGTTGTGTTTCGCGTGAATGTGCGGAGTCATTGTGTTACGATGGGTTGGTCATGCTCACATGATTGAGTGACTCACTGGATCAGAGATGGTAAGTTAGATGGGCTCCATAGGTCGTCTTCACTTATTTCCCCTCTCCTCTCTCCTGTCCAAAGGCTGTCCGTCATCATGCTGGGAGGAGGTTTCAAATCAGAGAGGCTGAGAGTCAATCTCCGACTGGTCATCAACCGACTCAAACTCCTTGAGAAAAAGAAAAGTGAGTCACTGTGCTGCTCTCCAATAGCTGAAGTGGCTCTTTATTTGTAAAGTAGTTCTAATGTTTTTTTTTTTTCCTTTTCCCATATTGCCAAATTTAATATAAAGCTGAGCTTGCTCAGAAGGCCAGGAAAGAGATTGCAGATTACCTGTCATCAGGTAAGGATGAGCGGGCACGGATCCGTGTGGAGCACATCATCAGAGAGGACTATCTGGTTGAAGCCATGGAGATCTTAGAGCTTTACTGTGACCTGCTGTTGACTCGCTTTGGCCTCATTCAGTCCATGAAGTGAGTACTGAGCATTGTAAATTCCTTACCTTCAGTGTCCGTCCTTGTTAACACGGTTGCTGTTTATCCATTATTAGAGAACTAGATCCAGGCTTACAGGAAGCAGTGTCCACTCTCATCTGGGCAGCTCCTCGTCTGCAGTCAGAGGTGTCTGAGCTAAAAATTGTAAGTTCTATCTAAAATTTTTTTGTCTCCAGTGATAATAAACACTTGGTATTTACATCTATTCCTTTCAAGTCAGTATTGACAATCTTGTTTCTAAAATCTTCTTTCAGGTGTCTGAACAGCTGTGTGCAAAATATAGCAAGGAGTACGGCAAGCTATGCAGGACAAACCAGATTGGCACAGTCAACGACAGGGTAATTTTTTTTCCCCAGTGACTGTCCACAAGCTTGTATAGGAATGTATGAATCTTTTGTCTAGTGTGCTCTTAGCGACATCTAATCAAATATCTGATTTCAGCTGATGCACAAACTGAGTGTTGAAGCTCCTCCCAAGATCTTGGTCGAGCGCTACTTGATAGAGATCGCAAAGAACTACAATGTCCCCTATGAACCTGACGCCATGGTCCGGGTAAGCAGCAAAGAATCTGTTGTTACTCAATGTGAAAGTTGGAAATTTTGCCCTCTGTTTGTTTATTTACCATCCGCTACTTCTCCGGATAGCCCGAGGTGTGTACTGGGGAGGAGGCAGACCTGATTGATGTCGACAATGACAGGAAGTTTGGAGGAGGAGGTGGTGGAGGATTCACAGCTCCTCTAGCTCCTGGAATCCATATGCCTATGCCCATGCCTATGGCTATGCCAATGCCAACAGCTTTCAACTATCCACCTCCCAATGGAGCTGTAAGAGTTTCCTTTTAAAGACGATGATTTAGTTGAATAATATTGTGTTGCTTTTTACTTTCTGTTACAGATTTAACGTGAACATTTCACTGATATTAAAACAAAAACACTTTTTTTAACTTTGCCTTGTAATGACATGCAGATAATGTTATGCTCATTTTCAGGATATTGCTACATGTGTATCTGGATGGAATTTTGTTTTTGGTTCTCAGAATATCTAAAGAAATTAGCAAATTGTTACTACTGGCAGTGACCCCTCAGCTTTTCATCCATTTCTGAAAGGCATAGATGGCATGGAGCATTTACAGCACTTGTTCTAAAAAAAAAAGAAGTATATTTTGTTACATTTTAACAGTATGAAAACTCCTTCACAGCTGCTTCTGACTTTTGAAGCATGTTGTTTTGAGGACAATTTAATGGCAGTAAGATCACCAGGATGAAATAGATTCTAGTTTGTTGTATTTACTCTGTATGAGAACTATACACTATATTGATAAAAGTACTGGGCTACCTACACCTATTGGAATCAATCAAGACCCATATCATGAAGCTCCTGGCACGCAGTTTTTGGGCTGATGTTAATGCCAGATGTTAGAACTCTATAGTTATTGAGTCAGCAGTCTTAGTGACTCATTTAACAGCCTGACTTGTTAACCTGGTAACATTGTATTACAGTACCTGTTCAGTGACAGTGAATGACCCATTCAATCACAAATGTTCACAAAAGGGGTATGGCCCAATACTTTTGACCTTGTAGTGTAATATGTACTACCTTCCTCAAACTTGTTTGACTTTTTTTTTTTGCTTACCCCCAGGAACAGTTTCATGCACCCGTTGGAACCTACAACAGCTTCCAGCCCCCCATGGGAGGAGGGCAGCCACCTCAGTTGCCCACTTCTCCCCCTACATACGAGTCTGTAAGTCTGTACGACTGAACCCTTCCCCTCCATCCATGCCCCCTTCATGTTTCCAAAGATGGACAGACGGACAGGGCAGGGAAGCACTCAGGGAAGAACTGTTTATTCGGCTTGCTTACAGTTCTGCCTGTCCTCCATACTTTAACATTATTTCTCAGAGTAGGCCCAGATTCAGGTTCATCTGCACGGATGTAGGTAGCATGAAATTGGCCAACTTTAACCTACTAACTATGACCTGATCAGCTTTTCTTAGCGGGACTGAAAGAAGCGATAACTGAGGCCCTTTACCAAAAATCATGTTTAGTGTTGCACACTAAAGGTGATGGTTTCCATTTTTCTTTTCTTTTTTGTTTTTTGTTTTGTTTTTGCATCTGCCTTTTATAAATGAAGTATTAATCAAAATCTTATTAATACTAACAAATATATGTATATTTTTGTTTTTAAATATGGGGATGAGTTCATCACGAACACATTTGTTTGTTTCAGATTGACGACCTAACTGAAAAACCTTCTGTTCCTTCCCAGGGCGTAGGTGAGTTCTGTCAACAATCAGCAGCACTTAAATGATGAGAGGGGAATAGTTTGTTTTCTTATTGTCGCGAATCAACTGAAATAACTATAACCCACATTGTGCCAGTTAGTCTTGAATAGTATTTAAATCTTTTAACTCTACCCACATGAAATAATTTTTTAAAACATTTCATATATATATACGTAACTCTTTGACAAAATTATCTTGTAATTTATTGTGCAAATTGAGCATTATTAGCATGGCAGTGTGCTTGTTGGAAGCAGATTTGCTGCTTTGATGTGTATTTGCTGCAGAAGGATGGTGAGGCTCATACTAATGAAAGCAAAGGTTACAGAGTGCAGCTCACAGGTGGGGGAGGTCTGTGGAACAGACCTCGTTTGTTTATTTATTTTAATCTGTCTTGTTTGCAGTAGATTTTAACAAGGTGGGAAAATAGAGTAGGGTAGGACTTAAGTTATCCTTAAAATGCTCACCTGCCAAACATTTTCCTAAATAATTAATGCCTGTTACTCTCCAGGTCCCGCTCCTTCGGCTCAGATTTATGACAACAACGCTCTTCCAGAACTCCCATCTGTTCCTGACACACTCCCAACATCCTCCTTGGGCAGAAGCAACACCAGCTCGGATGACATTGACTTTGATGATTTGACGCGGCGCTTTGAGGAGCTGAAGAAGAAGACCTAACTGCTTTAACCTGATATACATAAACAGGCCTGTGTCACCTACACAGCTCAGAACAGGAAATAGGAATTGTTCAAGGCTCTGAATCAGATTTGGGTAGCTCTCCTCCCTCTTTCTTGGTGAAGTAATTTTACACAAATATTAAACATACATGTAATCTATTACCTCATTTATATAGCTGTGACCAGCTAATGAGAGAGAGTACTTTTTAGCGCCACATGTTTTCATTTCTTCTATTTGGCACGTTGGATAAAATCTTAAACAATCATGTGGGTATTCACCCCTTCTCGCTCCTTATTTAAAATCGCACTGAAGTTTAACCTTTTCCTTTTGTCTGTGTGGTAATTAATATGTTCACATTTAGATCTTAAGTGTTGATTTTTCTGAAGGTTTTGGGTTTGATTGATATTTATAGTACATGCCTTTATTCTACTTTGGACACACTGTCGTTGTGATCTTTGCCACTGTGTCGCTCAGTCCCGTCTCAGACCAGTTTGACAGGTATAGCGGGCTGCGCCACCTCGGTGGCGAACAAGCTTTTACGCATTAAAATCACCATTTAGTTTCCTAAGTGAGGCTCCAACAGTCAGTGAGGTTTTTCTCAGCTGTACCGGGACACACAGAAGCCATATTTTCAGTGTGTTACGCAGTTTTTCTCACTGTGGGATTGTTAAATACTCATTATTACCGAGCTTCTCAAACTTCAAGGTGTATTTGTATCAGAAAAATAGTATGGTTTCAAACCTTTTCCGTTTGAGGGCGATGGGACACAGATGTAAAATGACAACATGTATGGAAATCTGTAATTTAATACACTTACAGCAATATAGGTAGACTTATGTACATGAATGATTTAACTGTATAGGAAAAGGAGTTTGGCAACCGGGAGTTGTTCAATATTTGACAAATCTGTTTTATATACACTATCTCCAAATAAAGTTTTCTTTTTGCCCTTTTGAATTTCAGTTTTACAAAATACCTGCACTTTTTTTATGACTGAACAAACAAATTTGCAATTAAAATCCTGGCAGGCTTTGAAAGCAGCCAGCTAGCAAACTGATTTGATTAGATGTAAAGTTTGAGAGCAGAGGAAAAAGTTCGTGCCATTGTGATCTTGTGCATGGGTCTTGTACTGTATGTTCACCACTCCATTTGCCTTACCTTTCACCTCTCATCCGAGGCCTTGCCAGTCTGTTTTAGGATTAAGCATCTGTTATCCACCAAGACTGGACACATAATGCGTTTTTCAGTTTCTAATTGACCTTATTTGCGTTACACTCCACAGATTCTGAGTTTTAATTTGCTTGATAGATTAAAAAAAATCTGTACAGGCATTAGAGGTAGATGTTTCTAATTATTGTAATAAGTGTAGTGAGAGGTTTTTGTTATTGTTCCTGTAACCTGACTACACCGGGCTCTGCTTGCATGGCAAATAGACGGTGGCCTTGAATAATATGACTCAGCGCTTTGAAAAGCTTCCCCACTGGGTTATACGTGCAGTTAATTAATAGTTTTACATGAGCTGGGAAAAAACGGAGAGATAATTAACCCTACAGAACTGTGATCTGCTCACTGTCTTTTCTATGTTCGATTGTTCTTTCATGTTAAACTTTAAGACACAAAATAGTGTCTTGTTGCAAAAAATAGTTCCCCTCCCCCCAAACAATGTATACTACAATAACAATTTAATAAAAGACTATTTGGAACTGGAAAGCTTGTAAGGTCTGCACATAATTTTCCATCAGTTTTTCTTTTTAAAAACAACCTGTAATGCTCAATGGTAACCAGCAGAGGTCGCTAATGTTAAGGGAAAGCTCTGAAAGGGAAATCATTTTTTCAATTATGTAAAACATACTGTGATTTAAGTTAATGTGACGCTAACCTCTTTACATAATGGATCCTTTCAGTTATCGCAGCACAGTCTTGCATCAAGTCATAGTTGACTCATTTTCTGTTTGACACTTGTGATCAATACAGGTGTGAGTTAAGAGCGGCTCAATCATGTGAAAACTCATCCTGTTAACCCTGGTCGAACCTCAAAATCCCACCCTTTCGTGAACCTCGGGACCAAAAATGGTCCCGCCCCAAAAGTGCTCTAAAAATGTTATATATCAATATTTTTTTC